AAAAAAACTCATGTCTGCTACTGATGGAGGCTGGTGTGGTATAAAGAGCTGCTGCATCATCATCAAGGCCACCTCCTAAACAGGACTTGCCATTTTCTCATAGGATTGGTATAAAGCAAAGAGATGGCATGCTTGGTGCCCAGTGGGTTTGGACAGATATTACTTTGGGCATAGTGACATATATCTGTGGTTTCAGCCTCCAGCAAGGCTGAGGCAGATGGTTCACTTGAGTCTAGGAATTCAGGATCAGCCTGAACAGGGCAATAGAGCTAGAGCTATTTAAAAAAAAATCAGGGAGCTGGGGGTGTAAATCAGTACAGTACTGCTCAACATGCATGAGGCTGAGGTTTCAGACCCAATAGTAGCTGCTGCCCCACCCCCCACATTGTTTTCCAGTACCTTTAAAGTAAGAAGGTCTCAAACAAACAAAAGTAAGAAAGGATCAGGGCAGGGTGGTGTATGTGTGGACTTGTTTACAGGGCTGCGTTCTAGCTGTGCTTAGTCACAGGGGCTAAACAACAAAACCTCGGAGCCCATAGCTAGTCGACACCTTCGTAAGTCAACGCAGCCCAGGAGCTTTGGTGCAGAGGGACAAACAGGACGCCAGGACTGCTACTCTGGCTCTTCCCAAGCAGTGGGAAAGGGGCTGTGGGTGCACTGTCCAGGTCGCCAAGGGATCTGGTCCGTGTGCAATTATCTGTCACGGTTCCTAGTCTGGAAACGTGTTCCTTTCCTCTCCTACTCAGCTTCAGACCCTGCCTTCAACTCAGCTGAACTAAAGAAGCAATTGACAGTGAACTCATTCCTCCACAGCCATGCCTGTCCACGCCTACCACAGCATCTCTGTCCTCCATGCCTGTCCATGCCTACCACAGGATCTCTGTCCTTCATGCCTGTCCATGCCTACCACAGCATCTTCTGTCCTCCATGATTGCCCATGACTACCACAGGATCTCTGTCCTTCATGCCTGTCCATGCCTACCACAGGATTTTCTGTCCTCCATGATTGCCCATGACTACCACAGCATCTTCTGTCCTCCATGATTGCCCATGCCTACCACAGCATCTCTGTCCTCCATGCCTGTCCACGCCTACCACAGAATCTCCTGTCCTCCATGCCTGTCCATGCCTACCACAGGATCTCTGTCCTTCATGCCTGTCCATGCCTACCACAGGATCTCCTGTCCTCTATGCCTACCACAGCATCTTCTGTCCTCCATGATTGCCCACGCCTACCACAGCATCTTCTGTCCTCCCGAGAGACAGGACCACGTGTCCCTCCTGTGGACACCGCCCCCTCCACTTGGGCTATGCGACCCCGCTGTCCCTCCAGACTCCCTCCTGCCTTTCTCTGGGTCTGCCCACAGAGCAAATGTGCCTCAGCCCTGTCTATTTTCAAAGCAAACCCTGGTCTTCGACTCATCTGGATGCTCCCATTCTCTGAACTTCTGGGTCTTTCCTTCTTTGCTGCCTAGCCCACTCCAACAAGATTCATTTCCCATCTACTGTGAAAATGCTTTTTTCCCCTTTTATTTCCTGTTTTCTTTTTTGAGACAGGATCTCTCCATGTACCAAGAAGTCCCATCCGCAGCCTCCCAGCCCTTTTTTTTTTTTCTTTTGAGACAGGGTACTTCTATATAGTCCTGGCTGTTCTGAACTTGGTAGATAGACCAGGATAGCCATGAACTCACAGAATCTTCCTGTCTCTGCCTCTCAAGTGCTTGGACTAAGGGCATGCTCCACCATGTCCAACAAAAATGCCTACTTTTGACATCAGCTTTATCTTATCCCAAGGCACTGGCCATGTAACAGTTGATCCCTCCATTTGTCAAGTAATCCCTTTCCCTGGTTTCTGGAATATGTGCTCATCTGCCACCTAGGTGCTGGGCTTACTCCACCCCCCCACCCCCCACTCCCCCACCCCCCACCCCCAGCTCCTCTTTCACGAGATTTCCTTTTTCCACCTACACTTCACATCAGGAATCTGTTTGAATACATCCTACTGGATTTTGGGTAGGAAATCCCCCAACTTGACTCACCCATCTTCCCATTTCTGTATCTCTTGGTCATCTCAGCATGGCCTGCCTAAGCAGAAATCTTAATTTTCTGTGCTCGATTTCACACCACAATGGCCTCCTCCCTATTTTAAAAATAGTCTTTATTGCCAAAGCTGGCCTCAAGCTGTGATCTTCTTGCCTCAGCTAGTATCTAGGACCCCTGGCACATGTCACCACACAGCTCCGTGTCACCACACAGCTCCATAATGGCCTTCTTGTCCTACCCAGCATCTTGTTTCATTTTCGTACTCTCTAATTTTGCTTTTTGTGTGGAGTAGGAAAAACAAGCTCTACTGCCTGCTCTTCCTGCTCAATACAGCGCTTGAATAGACAGATTAAAATCGGTTGATTAACTAATTGATTCCTTGCCATATGTAATATCAGGGTTAGCTTCTGAGTCAAAGGAAACTTCCTGGCAGCTGTGGCAGTTCAGGCTTGGAAATCCCAGGACGCAGGAGGCTAAAGCAGAGGATGTGAGCACATCAGGAAAGCCTTCCTCACCTAACTTCCTACAACAATGGGATCGATAAGCATTTACATGAGATAATCCGAAGTCCATGCTCACCTGGTCTCTTGGTTTGGTTTCCATTCGGTTGAAATGCATTTGTGTATTGACGGTTCACTGTGGCCATCAACATCCCATCAGAATAAATAGGGAAGAGGACCCCAAAGCATCTTTGCTGTAGGAGTCTCTAAAAGTCTCTTTGGTGCTTTGCCCACAGCCCAAGAGCTCCTCCATCTCAGCAACTCA